ACAGGCCTGTAATTCCCTGGATCCTCCTTCTGGCCCTTCTTGTGGATGGCTGTCACATTTGCTAACCGCCAGTCAACTGGGACCTCCCTGGTTAGCCAGGACTACTGATAAGTGATGGAAAGTAGCTTGGTGACCACTTCCACCAGGTCCCTCAGTGTCCTCAGGTGGATCCCATCTGAGCCTATAAACTTGTGCATGTCCAAGTGCTGTAGCAGGTCCCTCACCATTTCCCCTTGCATTATGGGGACTTCATTCTGCTCCCTGTCTTCTAGCTCAGGGGGCTAGGTACTCAGGGAACAACTGGTCCTACTACTAAAGACTGAGGCACAGAAGGCATTAAGTACCTCAACCTTTTCCTCATCCTTGGTCACTAGGTTTCCACCCCCGTCTACTAAAGGATGGAGATTACCATTGGTTCTTCTTTTATTGCTAATGTATTTATAATTTATTTTTTTTCCATCCTGAATATAAGAAGCCAGGTTATGTTCTAGCTGAGATCTGGCCCTTCTAATTTTCTCCCTACATAGCCTCACAACATCTTTGTAGCCCTCATGAATAGCCTGCTCCTTCTTCCAAAGGCCATAATTTCTCCTTTTTTCCCCTGAGTTGCAACCATAGCACTCTGTTCAGCCAGGCCCGTCTTTTCCCCGACAGCTTATTTTCTGGCACTTGGGGACAGCTTGCTCCTGTGCCTTTAAGACTTCCTTCCTGAAAAATGTCGAGCCTTCCTGGACTCCTTTGCCTCTGAGGACTGCCTACCAGGGACTCTGTCAATCAGGCTCATAAACAGGTCAAAGTCTGCCCTCCAGAAGCCCAAGGTGGCAGTTCTGCTGACCCCCTCCTTGCTTCTCCAAGAATCGAAAACTCTATCATTTCATGATCACTATGCCCAAGACAGCCTCCATCCATCACATCCCCCACAACTCTTTCTCTGTTCACAAACAGGTCCAGCAGGGAGCCTTCCCTAGTTGTCTCCCTTACCAGCTGTGTCAGGAAGTTATCCTCAACACACTCCAGGAACCTCCTAGACTCTTCCCTCTCTGCTGTATTGTATCGCCAGCAGATGCGTGGTGAGTTGAAGTCCCCCATGAGGACAAGGGTTAGCAATATTGAGACTTCTCCCAGCTGTTCATAGAATATTTTGTTTGCCTCTTCACCCTGGTTGGGCAGTCTGTAACTGACTCCCACCACGATAGCTGCCTTGTTGGCCCTCCCCCTGATTCTTACCCAGAAACACTCAACCCTATTGTCAGCATCATTAAGTTCTAGACATTCATAATACTCCCTAACATACAGGGCCACCCCACAGCCTCTCCTTCCTTGCCTATCCTTTCTGAAGAGTTCATTGCCATCCATTGCAGCACTCCAGTCGTGCGAGTCATCCCACCATGTTTCCGTGGTGGCAACCACATCATAGCTGTCCAGCTCCTCCTGTTTGTTGCCCATGCTGCATGTGTTAGTGCAGAAGCATTTCAGCTGGGCTACTGGTCCCGCCACCTTTTTACTGGGAGAAGCCCTAATTCCTACCTAAACATTCCCAGGTGCAGACAAAGTTTCTAACCTATCAATGACACTCACATCTCTGCTGCTGCATGAATCTCCATCCCTTACACTCACTGAGTCAGCAGAACGAGGGACCTCACTGGCATCCCATCCCATCCCACAGACATTGGCATGCCACCCCCAGGCTTGCCTGAAGAGCCTGGTTTCATCCCCTTCCCCCTTCAAATCTAGTTTAAAGCCCTTTCAATGAGCCCTGCCAAATCTTGTGCCAAGAACCTTTTCCTCCTTTGAGACACATGTACCCCATCTGTCACCAGCAGGCCTAGTGTCATGTAAACCAACCCGTGATAAAAAAAAAACCCCAAAGTCCTACTGCTGACACCAGGGTTGGAGCCAGGTATTGTTCTGCTGACTGTTCCTGTTTCTTCCCTCATCCTTCCCTGCAACTGGAATGATAGAGGAGAACACTACTTGTGCTCCTGACCCCTTAACCAGTCATCCCAAGGCCCAGAAGTCTATCTTGATCGCCCTCGGGTTTCTTGCTGCCAGTTCATCACTGCCTGTCTGAAAAAAAATCAGTAATGGGTAGTAATCTGAAGGATGTACCAAGGAAGCTTTCTCTTTATATATCTTTTATCTGGGCCCCAAGGGGGCAGCAGACTTCCCTGAGAAGTGGGTCTGGTCTGCACATTGGGCCTTCTGCTCTCTTCAGAAGGGAGTCACCTATAACAATGACCTGTCTTTTTTTCCTTTCCTGAAGAGGTTTTGATGCAGGGTGTAGTTTGGCTTAACCTTGGCAACACCTCTGAGCACACTAAATCATCTTCCTTGCCATGGTTCAGTTCCACTTGCAGAGCCTCATACCTATTTTGCAAGGGTACCTGAAAATGGGTGGGAGTTAGTGGGGAGTCACACTTGCTTCACCGGGTAGAAACTTGTTCCCATTGCTCCCTATCCTCTAAGTTACCTTGTTCAGCCAGGCAGAGAGAGGACAGGGAATCCTCCGCATCATGTGCCCGGTTCAGGGAAGGCAGGCTGTGACTCCAGCACTCTATCTCCTTTGCACACTCCCTGATAGTTCTCAATCTACTTACCTCTTCTCAGAGCTCCATCACGAGGTGGAAGAGTTCCACTACCTGGGCACACCCTGCAGCCTGACACCTGGGTGGCAGTGTGCTCCCACAAGAGCTCCATGTGGAAAACTGCCTCAGTCCTGCTGGGTGCAGAGCTTGGGGAGGCCAAAGTTTTCCACCAGCTAGATACCGTGATTCCCCGGTCGAGCTGATACAGCTTCAGCACTCTTCCACACAAAATGCCGTGCAAACTGCCATATCATGCTCTGACACACCACAGTCTGTTTGCCCGCTCTGGTCGCAGCACTCCCCTATGGCTGCCTCTTATGGGAGTGGGGTAGGCACTGCCACTGCTGGCCCTGTCCCCGCCTCGTCAGCAACCCCTGTGCAAGCTGCTGGCTCCCATGGGCTGCCTGCAACCTCCCAGCCTTTCCCCAGCTCCAGAAAGCTCAGTGACGCCCCTTTTTGCCATGAACTGCTGCTTTCTTGCAGACATATGTGCACCAAAGCTGTCCCTCAGTGAGGTACGTGGTGCAATCTTTGACAGGAGTTGTGAGTTACTTTGTACTGACATATCAATTTTCCAGTGTATTTCTGAAGAAAGCAGAGGTAATTGCTCAAAAATAAAAAAAAACTGCCACTCCATAATACAAAAACAAGCAGGAAGAAGACAACAGTAATTTAGCCTTGCACAGATACATAAGAGAAATGAAGTATCAGCCTACAAAGGGAGTACATTATGACAGAGGAAGCTATAAACGGAAAGCTCCTATAGCTGTTAAAAGTTTTACAGTAAACTGAATGTAAAGATAGGAAGCTGGGGGGAAACGAATCTTGCTTGCTTACATAACTCACTATCTTTGTTTCTTGTAATCTGGTGTGAGCACTGTTCAGTAAGGAAACTCAGCAAGTTCAAAAGTGAAAAGTGAACTTGCAACGCTCCCTCAAAGAATCAATTGCTAGGTTACCTGGAAAAGAGACCATGAGTCACTCAGCTATAAAGCATGGCATGTATTTTAACAGTAATCTCAAGTTGGCATAAGAAATATTTCCCTGAATATCTGTAGCAGCTCACTACAAAGATCTGCAAACATTTCATTTCAAACTGAACGTAATTGCAGAGCCTGTAGATATCTGAAAGATTAACACCATTTCAAAAGAATGGTTAAAGAGCACCCCAGAGAGTCTATATCTTAAAGTGACATTTCAAAGTCAAATCTTTTTTATAGAATAAAGGAGTTTCGAAAAAAGATTTTGCTAGATAATTCTCATAGCTACAGAAAAATCTTCACATCTCCATGACAACTAGGGAATGTTAATTAGGTAGCTGGAAGTCCTAGAGGGTTTCCACCTGCCATAGGCTAGTAACACACCACAAATTACCATTACACTTACATAATTAAGAAAAAACCTACATAGGATATGGTATCTATTCAACTCCTTATCTCAACTTATCCAAAGATCATCAGAAAAAAGTTTTGAAAAAAAAGCAGACTTCCACTGTCTGCTTCTCTTGGTTCAATTCCAAGTTACACAGACCTGATTGTCTTTGAATGGAACTAAAATTACAGCAGTTAAGAAGGTCTGTGGCATTTGGCATTTGTCAAAAGAAATAACTTTAATGAGAACAAAAATAAGTATTCTTGCCAAAATCCTCATCTCCAATAATATACGTGCTACTGTGAAGATAATGCACCATTTCAAGGCTAAGGCCTCTGGATCTACCACAACATGTTTTTACACACAAGTTCCTCACTCCAAGGCTTGAGTGCCAATCACTACATCAAAATACTCAAAGAGTATAGTAAAATACTAGAAGCCTGATCATAACAAACCACAGGTTTGTAAACAATCATTCTTTAAATCAAAGATGGGGAAAAAACAAACTCTCTTTTCTTACTGTTACACTTCATTGTTCTCCCTAGCCTAATAAAAAACTGAACAAATTAAATCCTGACAGACTTCATAACTGAACTTCAGTGAAAGAAGCAAAAGATCTGAACTTCACAAAGAAAAGGAACTGAAGAAAACAGGCCACTAGTATTTTATTTTGGCTCTGAATACATCTCAGAGTAGCAAAATTCTTGAGATCCATAATAGTAGCTAACAGTGGTGCCTAAGAGTTGATAGCCATCCATTAGGCTCAGCTGCTGGAAATGTGACAGCAGTACAACGCAGCTCAGATGGGATATAAAAACAAAAAGGTGTTTTTTTTTTTTAAATTAAAGACTTCTCACAATATTTCCTTATCTATTCTCAATGGTTTTTTTTCAAATTTAACTAAGCCGTTCCCCCATAGAAAAAAATGGAATGAAAAGCTGGCTTTTTAAATAATGGACTTTTCAAGTTTCTGAAGGCTTCTCTAGGTTCAAAGGAAGAAATAAGGGAATATGAGGTTGTAGCTTTACTGAGGTATCTACTTACTCTTTAGTGAAGATTCCTCGAGGCCCAGAAGGTGTAATATTGCTTGGATCTAGTCCATATGTTTCCAGAATGTTGCGAGCTGCGGGACTTAAGCGAACCCTAAAAAAATCAGGAGAAAAATAAACTAAACACTAAGATTAACTTATTTCATTTAACGTGTATCAAGAGAAACTACATTGTATATACTCCATTTCAGAAGCAACAGCTGGGGACGAAAGAGTTCTGTACAAAGGCTATGATCCTACAACTGCAGGCAGACCATGCCCCTTCACCAAGCTTTAATGCAAGGCTGAATTTAAAAACACCATAATGACCTCAACAAGATCAAAATAAAGAATGGAAAATTCATCTCCAAACTTTACTCTTACATCAGCGATGCAATATACTTGTGGATTCTTATGGAAAAGAGTCATCAGTGAAAACCCAAACACATTTTTTAGGACCAGCTTGTTATAGTAACATTAAAAAATGAGTTTTAGGAGCTCAGACAAGAGGGTTGCTCACCTCTATTATTTGTTTGGCCAGTTGCAATTGCATTATTAATGCAGCTTAATTCTAATTATAACATTACCCTTGCCCTAGCTTTCATTTTATTGTATAGGACTGATTTAATGAAATGGTTACTTTTTGGGAAAACAAAAGCCATATAGATGTAGTTGCATATTTCAGTATCAGCTTTAGAAGACTAAGTATTAAGCCCTCCCACACTCAAACATTTTAATCAGCATATACCAAAGCTATACTATTATACTAGTAAACCTGTACCTGCCACCTTGACCTAGATGGAGTATGCTCAATAGTAACATTTCTGTCTGGAAACAGAAACAATGCCCAACTACACAGCACAGTACATAGCTACAGAGTACCCAGCGCACCTCAGCATGATTTGCTTTCTGAAATGAAGAATTAAAACCAACACATAGAGAAGAGATTTCAGAATTCTTAGATACAAAAGCAACAGCATTTTCATAAAAGAATAAACGCTTGGTTTCAAGGCTTTCCACAAAATCTCCAATAAGAACTGTCCATAAGCCCTTGCCGAAAAAAACCCATGTCATGAATGATCACTTGATTCCAAAGATGCCGATACATCTTTAATTAAGAGCTGCAGTGAAACAGATGAACGTCTGATGTTCTTTTGGTACTAAAATGCAAGACTTAATCCTTCCAAGGATTCTTTCCTCTGAGGTTTGAACAGTGACCTCAATTAGTTGGCTTGAGGTTTAACAAAAAAAAAAACCACACAACAAAAAACCCAACAAAACAACACACAACAAAACCAAAAAACCTCAAAACAACCAAAACCAAACAGTTTGTGTAGCGCATGACACCAAAATTAGCTTCCTACCTATTCTTTTCTTTATCAGGCTGTAATTTTACCGCTTTTGTGTTATCACAATTCACTCCAAATAAGGAGTGATACCTCCAAATAAGGTACATCCTGTGACACAAACCAGTGATTTATAGATTAGTGCAACGTGACTAACACTTTGGAGTTAAATTACTCTCCCTTTAAGATGTTTGCAATGCTTAGGGTACCCTAACATATCAAAGCAAAACTAACCAAGAGCAGTAAACATGGTTTTAAGTTTTTCACATTTGATTGTTATGAAAATAAGAATAATTTTTTTCTAAAATCAAAAGTGCAAGAGCTTGCAAGCGTTTTTGAGTGTGCCATTTATTCGCTTAGTTTTTTTTCTCCTAAAAAAGACACAGAAAACAAGTGTCTGTGTTCTGAGCATCTGATGCATAAGCATTAGTGTCCGTCGTATATAAACATAACTTCTTCCTTATCTAAGTTTTGAATTCTTCATAAAGCATTTGTATGTCAGAATAAAGCACAGGCACCATAGAAGGCGTCCTAATAAAACTATGTTGTTCAAATTGACTTATTGGGCTTACAAGCAAAAAAACCCATTACGGCCAGGCCACCTCACACATGCTAAAACACTCTCTTAATACTTAGCTTAAATTACTAGGCAAAAAGGGACAAAAGATTCTTCTTGGTTCAGCTCTACTAATCTAACTAAATAAGAGATCCATTTTATAACACAGAAACTTACTGCAATTTTCCAGGTGGATGTTCCAGTTTAGGAGGGGCTGAAACTGAAGGACCTGCAGGTGCTGGGGTAAGCACAGGTGCTGGTGGAGCCAGAGAAGAGGGATCACTACCATCAGCTGGTATTTCAACTTGTTTCCAGTCCTGTCCTTCCTCTACCAGCAGACAGATTAGTGAGCCCAAGCGTACATTTTTGCTTCCTTCTTCCACCTAAATTTAAAGCAATGAGAACATTAAGGTACATATTGTGCTGTCTAGACTAACATGACTAAGAAATGGCAGATAGGAAAATTTCAGGCATAATAATGACACTTCATCAAGAAAACATATCCCATTTCCTTGCTACTATTAATAAGATGACTCATGACTGAAATTATAATAGCAACTGTAATTAAGGTGAGGAATATTAACTTATACCCCAAAATCCCATACATCTAAAGTTAGGATTCAGAAATCAAAGTAAGCAAGTGTTGTGGTTTGGCTTCAGCCAACAACAAAGAACCACGCAGCCACTCGCACAGCTTCCACAGCCGTGGAAAAAGAAATCGTCAGGGCAAAACTCTTGGGTTAAAATAGTGCAATTTAGCAGAACAGCAAAAGGAAAGATGAAAACGCGATTACAGTACCGCCTCGAAGCGCACAGACCAGGCCGGCGGCGCCGCCGCAGCCCACCCCCGAGTGGCGACTGCTCTCCTTGCACGGGCTAGTTCCTCTTATAGCTCGGGCATGGGTCACGTGGGATGGAATACCTGCCCCCTGCCGGCTCCTGGGGAGATTAACCCCATCCCTGCCGGAACCAGGACAGCAAGTTACAGACTACTGAGTACCTCCAAGACAAGGAAACAAAAAGAAACAAAACCCACCGCTGCAACAGTGCCCCATTACTTCTTTCTGAAAAAGACAACATTCACTTTCCACTAACTTCCACCTCTAAGTTTGTCTATTTTAACATAACTGGTGCCAACTCTCTCCATCAAGAAAGTGATAGCACTTATGTGGTATGTAAATCACTGTTTCAAAGAACATCCGAAAAGAAATCTTACAGAAAGATAAATCTAATATAATTTAGATTGGATAAGGCAAATCTATTCTAGATGTTCCTTTTAAAACAAAAAGATACCTGTATCACAGTCAAAATAGCTCTTTGATGCTTTGGCAGACAAAGATATAGGAGTCATGTTAATTTAACAACCTAATGAAGGGCTCCTCCTCCTCCTCAACTAAAACGGCTGCAGAAGTACAACTCTTCAGGTTCTCAAAAGCAGTAACATTTCCAGGGCATAAAACCAAATGTAAAGACAGCCCTTTAGGAACACAGGTACACAAATACAACTCAGACTGTACCAGCTGATTTCCTAACAAAGGGAATGGACATTTTATTTCCAACATAAAGCCATACTGCATATACATTTGCCTCAGAAGGAGCTGGTATATCTCTGCAATGCTGACATTTTACGCAAGAAAATGCAAATCACTATCATTTGAAAAACCCAGAGACAGACACAGAAAATAAAAATATACATAGTATCAGGTAACACACAGTTCTTACTACCTTAGTTGGGTCTTCCAGGCACTTAAAGACTAATAAATAAAGCAGAATGCTGTAAAGACTGTACTAGACAGATGCAAATACTACAACATTGTTAATCATAAGACTGTTGTCTGCACTGTTAACTCCACTGACAGAATGTATCAAATGTCACAGAATTATCCAGCTCTGTCACTAGAAGGACCAACATTAGACCAAAGAAGGACCAGCAAAGGCAATTTGTTCTCAGTATTGTGAGAAACACACTCACTGTATTGAATTTTAGTCAGCGGCAAATTCGGTGGAGCAGAGAACATTTGTTAAAGTGCTGGGAATTACACAAGAGATTTCTCCTCCTGTGGGTTGTTTTTCCTTTACAAATGCTTGTTTTTATTTCGTATTCCTTATTCTTATTCATGTTTCTTCTTTGAAAATAACTTGCATAATCAATGAGTTCTTGGAATGCAACCCACCCCCAATTACATAATCAATGAGTTCTCTGAATGCAACCCACCCCTGAACATGCCCCCTCCCTTCTAGTGGCGAAGGCAATATGCTTCCTCAGGGGTCTTCCTGGTGGTCGGAGGGAGGCTCGAAGTCTTTATCACCATGTCCTTCTTGTGGCCTCTTTATTCTTTACTTTTCTATGTTTATCTTAGTTAACTACACCACCCTTTGTTTTGCAATGGTCCGGTACTTTCAACTGTTGCTTTCATCTGATATCCTATCTAACACTATCCCTTTTCCAAACATAGCAAGCACATACCTATCTTAGCTGAAGCCATAACAAGCACACATCCATTTTAGCTGAAGCAAAATTCTTTTGCTAAATTACTTATTACAGTATGTTCTGATAAAACATCTCACATTTACAGTTTTTCAAGTTTACTTTTTTTTTCCCCACATGAACACTAGCTAAGTTCTAGTGTAATACTTCTTTAAGAGTATTTATTACATGACAAAAAATATTCAGGACTCAGTTCAGTATTTCTTGTTCTGATCTCTCGATGCATTCTTCTACATTAACATTCTGAAAAGCTTCATTTTAGATAAGAAAGTCTGAAGAGTCCATCAAGACTTGATTGTATTTTACTTGTATTGAGATGTCTTTAAAGTACTTAGGGATGACAGAATGCCAATCAAGAGTCCTGAACTGATTTGTCTAAGGCTGAAAGAACCTATTAAAGGCCCAATGATAAACAGATCTGTAAAACTACGTGTAATTGCAGTGTGACTCATAATCAAATAAAACAGCAGTTTGAAGCCAGTGCAAGCACAACCTACCTAACCTAGTCACTGAAACACAAAACCTGGGAAAAAGAAAAGAAAAAGCGCTATAAACGTAGAAAATATTGAAGTTATTCACTCTAATAACTTCACAGCATTATCGTACTTAGCACTGAACAAGGTATTTAGAAAAACTGTTTATCACTGTAATACTCTGATGTTTGATCCATACTGTCGTGGCTTAATGCCGGCCGGCAACCAAGAACCATGCGGCCTTTTCACTCACTCCCCCAGTGGCGGGACAGGGGGAGAATCAGCAGAAAAAGGCAAAACTCGTGGGCTGAGATGAAGACAGCTCACCAGAACAGTGAAGCAAAGAGGAAGACAACAGTAACACTGATAGAGAAATGTACAAAACTCAAGTAATGTACCACCGCTCACCAACCGGACCCAGGAAGCCCCCAGCCCACTCCCAAGCAGCGATTCCTGCCCCCTCCCGTGGCCAGCTCCCTGCTATAGACTGGGCATGGCGGTACAGAACACCCCTTGGGCTAGCTGGGGTCAGCCAACTCCCACCTGACACACCCCCACCCCCCCGGCTGTGTCCCATCCCAGTTCCTTGTGAAAATTAACCCTATCCCCGCCGGAACCAGGGCACATACCAATGATTATGCATACCAGATACGTCTCCCCAAGTTCAAAACAGTTCCCATAACACATTCATATGCAGCAATTAACATTTTTTTCCTAAAATAAGAATAAAACAACTTTTTTGCATGTATTCTCTTTTCCTTAGAAAGGCTTGCACATGTAACAGAGAACACTTTTATAAACAGTCTACATACTGTAACTGAATAGACAAAGAAGCACTGCTACATTGTTGTGATGTCAAGTCCTTACCTTGGTGTCAGAGTGCTTTAATGGTGCTATAACAACACATACAGAAACCCAGTAGGGGGTTGAGCCTTCAAGAAACATAACACTTACACTAGTTAGGCTTTGTTTATAACCCAGCATCATATGAGCATTCAAAGCCATTGATGCTGTCAACTCTCACTCTTCAGAGCAAACCAATTGCTTTTTTCCTCATGTTCACCACTCCAAGATAGTTATCTGGAAACTCCAGCATTCCTTCTTTTCCAATAAGTTTCCAGCCCAGATGACTGCAGAGTTTATACTTTTTAAAAGTGCATGAATGGTTTGGTTTTTTTTTTACAAAACATGTTTTTAAACACACAGCCTTTGGAGTTCAGAACTAGAATAGACAAAGAAAAATTGTTATTATTTTGCTTAACTTTCCACCTCCTAGATTTTTGAGTCACTTCTACGTTTTCATAATTCACAATACCAGAGAACCTCTCTGCATAAATCTCAATGAACCCCAGAACCTCAGACATAGAAAGAGCTGAAATAAGTAGCTTCACAATACTTCTATTACTGTGTGTATGTATAGCCAAGAAGAGTCAAAAAGACCCTAACTTTGCTGACAAACTAACAAAACACAGGTAAGCCACGACAGGGAGAAAAAAATTGGAGATTGGTGCACAAAGGAATAAAGTTCCCTCGGAGCTGTTGCCAATGCAACACAGTTGCATTAGTCACTAAAACACACATACCAAAGTAGATGTTTATTTCCTAAACTGGGAAGAAAGGTGCACGGAACTGATGCTGGCTCACTCTGCAATGGAAATTTTACACAAAGCAGTTTCAGTTCATACCAATTCTCATTTAGGTCATGAATGAGAGAATGGTAATGGATGTTAAATCCCATTCTTAAACAATCAATCATCACCTGGGTTTGCTCCAAATTGAACTAATAAGTATTTTAGGCCAAAAGGTCAGTGTTAATTTAAGAAGCAACTCTACTGAAAGAACAATCACCGTTCTGAAATAACTCTTCTAACACTTTCATTCAGTCATTTTAATCTTTCACTGCATTTTACACTGAATCAGATGTGATCACTGAAAGACCTATTCAGACAGAAAAGGAATATATGCATGAGTGTCTATTTTATTGTTCACCTACTCTTTCTCAAACCATACATACTTACATTATACAGTCAAGATAAAACAAGAAGGGTTACAGAAGCTGAATTCATATAATCTAATGAACCTTCCATCTTTAAGGGTAAAAACCAAAGTGTTAGGCAGATAGTGTGTTTATTTGACTGAGTTTTCCATACTGAACTCAGGCAAGATGGAGCAGAATTGTAGTTGGCATCAAAGAACACAAAATTGTTTCCTCACTTCTTTCAGGAAGTGCATAAACTTCAGCCAGATGCTGGTAACTCAGATGCATCAAATATTCTTAATTTCCCATCAACTACAACACATCTGAAACTTTTGAGTGGCCTTTGGAAGGGCAGTCTTTTCAATAAGAAATCATCTCCCCATCCACAAACCTGAGACAGCTTAATGTTATAAACATTACACAAACATCTACTGAACACCCAGTACAGTGCAGAAATATCTACAGGATACTGCAGAAAGACTACTAAGCATCATACTTGAGTTAGGAAAAAAACATATTCTAAAGATTTCTGATCTTATTGCTCCCTTGTTAGTTTTCACCAGTTTTCTTCTGTACTTTTTAGAAGACTGCAATAAAAACCTATTTGTGTATCTATTCTGAACTGTAATACTTAAGTCCACCATTGCTAGCTCCCCAAAAGGGGATTAAAAGAATCCATTAAAGACTGGGTTTGCATAATAACTTCTTCACATTACTCCAATACAGCTGCCTCTCTTCCCTTAATCTGAAAGACATTACAGTTATTTTCCACTTCCTGGCATATCCTTCTCAGACTCAGCTCTTGGTGCATGACTGTTATTGGATGATGCGTCACTGCTCCATGACTCTGATATCACGTAGTTGCTGGAAAATCTGTTTTTAATCTACCAAAAAACATGCCACAACAGAAATACACACAAAGAAATTTTGTAATGTATTCAGAATACAAGACAGGAAATGGGAAAAACACAGCTTCTGAAATATTAATGCTACCTGTAGTCATCATTAATTAAAGAATTTGAAAAACCAATATTGGAGTCTACTATTCTTCTCTTAAATGTCTCTGGGAATCATTCTTCAATACTTTTGACAGAGACAATCCTCGGATCTCCTCTTCACATAAACTAACAAAGCAGTATCTGTAAATGCAGAATAGGTACTTCATAGTAAAAAAAAAAAAAAAAAAAAAAGTTGCACAAGTTTCTGTCAAGACACAATAAGATGCAATTTAGATGCAAACTCCAGACAAAATTAGACACAAAATAATTTTCAGAAACATTCAAAATTGAAGAGAAAATAATTAAAAATAGTGAAAGCGTGACTCACCCAGGAATTACTAAAATAACTAAATGGAGACTAAAAACACATCTAAAAATACGTCTGATGTGAGATTTTGTCCTGGGATGGTGAAGAGAAGAAAAGTCAATGAAGAAGGGCCTTCCTACATCTTAATGAAGAGCCATATAGTAAATTCAGTTTTATTTACAGCTCCATAAAAATTACTTTTGTTAATTAAAGCTTCAAATTAAAGGCTGGATCTCTCAGTTGGGTCTTACTGTTGATGCAAGTGGGGTTTCTTTTCTTTTAAATTCGGGTTTGGGTTGGGGTTTTTTTTGTGTGTGTGTGGTTCTCCCCTGTCGTGGTTTCGGAGGCACCAGACTCAGCTGACTCGTTTATTTTGATCCTGAATAAACTTTTATCTTTGCTTCAAAGACTTTGTCCTGGTTCCGGCAGGGATGCGGTTAATTTCCACAGGAGCCGGCAGGGGGCAGGTATTCCATCCCACGTGACCCATACCCGGGCTATAAGAGGAACTAGCTGGGGGCGGGGCGGGGTGGCAGTCGCCACTCGGGGAGGGCTGCAGTGGTCTGGGTCCGGTCTGTGCGCAGCGGTACTGTAACTGCGTCTTTTTATCCCTTTATCGATGTTAGTGTTTTTCTTTCCTCTTCTCTTTTGCTGTTCTGTTATATTGCGCTATTTCAACCCACGCGTTTTGCCTTTTTCTGCTGATTTTTCCCACGGCTGTGGGAGTTGAGCGAGTACTGCTTGGTTCTTTGTTGCTGGCTGAGACCAAACCACGACACCCTCCTTAAAGATAAGAAACTCTAAAATACATTTCCTATTATACATATTTAATGGACAAGAAAAATATAGTCTCCCTTAATTTTTAAGCATCAGATAGGAGCTTTCAGAAAATGTATTATTTATTTTTACATGGAAGCAGCAACAGAAGGCCTCAGAATTACAGCCCCAACCTTCTAAATTCTGATGAGAATTAATTCGAGTTCATTTTGAAACAAGAAACATTTCTCAAAAATGTTAGAGGAGGAGGAGAAATTAAAAGATACATAACTTGACTTGTCTTTTTAGAATATGGTATGTATAGAATAGCACAGGACTGGCAAGCAGAACTTAAGCAATGCAGGGTTAGAACTAAGTCCTTCACCCACATCTCTGTAGCCCAGTTGTTACTGCTTCCATCTTGGTACAAAACAGGATTTAAAGCCAAACAAACAAGGAACCAAAACAAACTGAGCATTCTCTCTCTTATATATGCACATACACACAAATACTCCAAAATGATGTTCAGAGAATTTCACATTCATCCCAGTTCTCATTTCTTATATTAAGCCTAATCAATCTAATTTTAAGAATTGTCCTCTGGGTCGACTCATCTTGTATAATGTTCAATCTTCAATGGACAGCGCAAGATAATCTAGCACAGAGATCACACATCCTGGGTGTGAGAAACGCTCACTCACGGATAAAAATGTAGAGGACAAAGTCTTCGAAGCAAAGATAAAAGTTTATTCAGGATCAAAATAAATGAGTCAGCTGAGTCGGGTGCCTCCCAAAAAGAGCACACTTAGCTACAAAACTTCAGGTATTTATGTCCTGTCCCCTTTTCCCTTTGGTTAGGTACTTTAGGGCACACATTCTTTCACAACCCGTTAGCCTATCAAACTCGATTCACACTTTTCTCCTTTTAAGGAGTTGTTTTTCGAAGTTACACAGCTCTGCTTGTGCCGTCGACACACAAAATGGCTGCTCATAGCCCTGCTTGTGTCGTCAACATACAAAATGGCTGAAGCAAAACAATTCTATCTCTCACATGGGTAAAGTATGATCCAAGTCTCCATATTCCAACTAACTGATTGTAACTTGTTTTTCTATAACTAAGAGTAAGACATGTCAAACTGCGGTATTTCATGGACATAATTCGTAAGGTCCAAAACATACAAAGCAGCATAATTCAATCAAGTTAAATGAAAATCAATGAAACATATATAGAATGATGTACCATGTACCAGTAGTCTGCTATTCGTATGAAATAGAGCAATTATTTCTTACTAGGAATGCAAGTGCATTATTCTGAAAGCTGAGGAGAAGGAAGTTTAGCTATCTAAACTAGTTTTTGACACAATATGCTAAAAACAGTCTGACGAGAAGTTATATCACCCTACTCAGAGAGGCAGAATCCCTACCAGTATTTTAGCCAATATGCCATCATCACTTGATTCCATGGTAATCACTGCTTTGTCTGTTTCAATTTCACACAATGCATCTCCAGCATTCACTGTTTCACCTGCAAAATATAACAGAACTTCAGAATATTTAGCCTAAACATCCTTTCAGATCTATTTAACGATGGAAGATATTTATCCACATAATACAATAGGATAAATAATGATGGGGGATCAACTAGCTATAGAATATAAGAATGTAAAATGGCTGTTTCTTTCATTTCCAAATAAAACATTAAGATTCAGAGACACAAACTGCTGCAAGCAGAACATTAACATTCCGAATACTGATTTTTACAATAGATTTTCCAAGAGGAAGTACACACACAATGACATTTACTCAGTAACATTGCCATGAATAAAATGCTGTTCCTTCCATATTCATTGCTAGCCATAAATCAAAGCAAGCAATTTAAAACTAACTTTTTAAAACAATGGTCACAGGCAACAACATCTTTAACTAGTATCACAGTTCTCTAGTTTGTATCTACGTTATTAAAGATATTCAAACAAAAACCTCAGGAAAGCATGTCTGCAAGCTTGTTTCATCAATCTCCTATATAGTTAAAAAAGGTCTTTTAGAAAAATACTTACTTTGTGAAATAAAAATATACACAAGTGTTAGAAGTTGCTTTCACTAGATTACACAAATCCACATTTAATTCTGAAGTATACTCCTCTTCTGCTTTTGAAGAATACCTGTATCTGCTAGCACATGATAAAGATATTAAGGGTCTGGATTCTTTCAACAGATCAATACTGACTAAATGGCCAACATTAAAATTGAAGTTATATTGAAAAACTTTCAGGTAGTTGAATGATTTGGCCTCCAACAAAATATGATACACTTTTCCTTACAGAGCACTGAAAAATAAGGACAATACATACAAGCCTAACACACGACTACAATTTTTATATGAAAAACATTTTACTTCACATGAAAATTGTACATATTTCCCCAGTACCAGAAATGCTGCAATGGTATTATCTGTCTAAGCACTTAATTCTGATATTACTGTCCATTTTACTTCAGCATCAGAATAAACCTAGTGCAGGTAACCATCTGTATTTAGGTAAGAGATAAGCACTTACTTTTTTTTCTTGTTAAATAATTACTTCCTGATTCAGCACTGCCTGAATTAGAAGGGGAAAATGAAGTGTTGCTCGATCCTTGTGATCTCTGCAGTAGTAAATCACAGAATCTTCAGAGTCGGAAGGGATCTCTAGAGATCATCTAGTCCAACTCCCCTGCTAAAGCAGGATTGCCTAGAGCACATTACTCAGGACTGCATCCAGGCGGGTTTTGAAAATCTCCAGAGAAGGGGACTCCACAACCTCCCTGGGCAGCCTGTTCCAGTGCCCTGCCACCCTAACTGTAAAGAAGTTTTTTCGTGTATTGGAACAGAACTTCCTGTGTTCCAACTTGTGCCCATTGCCCCTCATCCTGTCACTGGGAAACACCAAGAAGAGTCTGACTCCATCCTCCTTCAACTCACTCTTTAGATACTTGTATGCCATAATAAGGTCTCCCCTCAGCCTTCTTTTCTCCAGGCTAAAGAGTCCCAGCTCTCTCAGCCTTTCCTCATAAGGGAGATGCTCTAATCCCTCAGTCATCTTCATTGCCCTTCGCTGGACTCACTCCAGCAGTTCCCTGTCCCTCTTGAACGGGGGAGCCCAAAACTGGACACAGTATTCCCCCTCTGGCCTCACCAGCGCCAAGAAGAGGGGGAGAATGACCTCCCTCGACCTACCAGTCACACTCTTCCCTATGCAGCCCAGGATTCCATTGGCCTTTTTGGCAACAAGGGCACATTGCCGGCTCATGGATAGTTTACTGTCTACCAGGACCCCCAGATCCTTCTGCTCAGAACTATTTCCCAGCAGGTCTATACTGGTGCTTAGCATTCTTCCTCCCCACGTGCAGGACCTTGCACTTGCTTTTGTTGAACCTCATTAGGTTCTTCTCTGCGCAGCTCTCCAGCCTGTCCAGGTCATGCTGGATGGCAGCACAGCCCTCTGGAGAGTCAGCCACTCCTCCCAGTTTGGTATCATCAGCAAACTTGCTTAGGATACACTCTGTCCCCTCATCCGGGTCATTAATGCATTCTATGATTCTATGTTCTTTTTAATTTAATAATCTACTTGTCGCACTGTACTTTGCAGTAACTAGAGCATAAACAGTTTATAACAGGAAGTCAAATTTCCAGGCTGTATACCAATGTTTACAGTCCATTGGATCATTAATTCAAGTAGCCCATATATCAGGTCTTTAGGTAAGTACTTCATAGATGTTAAGAAATCAAATTGTTGGGCAAATTCTGTAATTTACAGAGCTAAGACAGGGAAGCAGAAAGGAGCTTAACTCCATACCTTAATTGTTGTCTTCTCCCAACCTGTAATCAGACCATAACTGTACTCAGAAATCTCAGTGCTAAGCAACCTGCATCAGTAACTCCAAAAGCAAATACCCTCATCCATGTGTTTGTCACACATGACATATCTCTTAACTTGGGTACATGAGGCTGTTTGTAGAAAGTAAGGATTCCATTGCACAGGGAAGGCAAGAGTAAGAGTTTTTAGAGAACTGAGCAAACCACTTTTCCACTACTTTTGTTTTCCTTTCACTGCTGCAGCCAAGAAGTGGTCATAAGTTTGGAAGGCAATTGATTAAATGCAATTTTAAGAAGAGTATTTCATAGCAGCATTCAAAAGTGTCATGTGTCTTTCAGTACCCAAGCACAATAGAAAGGATCATAGTGATTTTCATTAGAGATTGCAAAATTTGTGATAGCTCATAATCGATGCTCACTTTGATGTCAATTACAAATCAGTTTTCCCAATAGCTAGGATTGGAAAGAACACTTTTGCAACGCATATCTTTGCTCTTACACTTACTAATGAGAGCAGTATTTGCAACAGAAGTTGCCCGAATGGAAGCTCTCTGAGATTATATATAATGCCCTTGAAAAATCTTGGGTGCGGTTTGTTTGGGTTTTTTTAAATGGTTAAGTTCTTATAGCTAGGCTGAATGATTAGGATCTCTACTGAAGCAGCTTCCCTCTAAGAGATCACATCCAATTGGCATTCAATAGCCTACGTGCTCTGTTCAGTTACTGACAGACAAGTATCCAACTCACAAGATACAAACCACATTCCTTGATGTACTCTTTGCAAATCAAATCAATGTTGACAGAGCATAGAGACTGAAGTCGGAGGTAATGTCTCAGAAAGCAGCAGTTACACTGCACGAGGAAACTGCTAGCACTGTTGGCTATTCTGTTTCCTGCCCAAAATAACAAGAGGATTTTGATCTCCTGGGCTGTCAATCTATCATCTTTCATCAACATTAAATTCATACATAATAAATACAGGTTTTTAGAAACAGTTTTATTTTTATGAGAATGACTTTATTACCCACAGGAATCAACATGCAATTGCATTAACAATGAGAAGGGAAAAGTAAAGCCGTCAATTAAATTCAGCATTTTTCCTTCTGCAGTACTGAAATCATCTGTCCATCCTCTGAAACCATAAAGTGAAAAAATATGATATTTACACAAAGCAGAAAAATTATCAAAATAGTATTCTACTGTCCCCTGCTGGTTGTACAGTGGGAAAAGCATTTCATGTGCAATCATCAGCTTTCTTCTGTCAGTTACTTTAAAGTATTTATTTTCTTGGATACGAGATTATCAAACATTCATATTCAGTAATGCCACTACATTTAGATAGCCAGCTTACTGGAGGATTACATCATTATGAGCATCCCTTGCAGACAGAAGGATTATAAGCATAGCATATAAGCACTTTACTTTTTGCTTCAAAATTTACCTTCACTTCTTTTAATGTTGTCATTATGTTTAATTCCCAAACTGTCAGAGGAAAAAAATATCCATAGGAACTAATTATGGTCACAGATGTGCCAAATAAGACAATACAGAATATTCTGTTTTGGTCTTGTTTCTAAATTGAAAGTAGAGCAATAAAAATCTTACAGTAGTTTTCTCTCAAAGGTCAACCATCAAATAAGATTTCACTTATTAAAATAGGGTTGGAGCTTTTTTTTTCCCTTTTGCGTTGGGGTGGAAGTGTAGTGGAAAGACTGAGAAGAAGCAGTGTATAGCCAATGTGCCACAAGACCTTTTTACGAGGAAAACTGATTCATTCATGTTGTGGAGCAAACTGCAGTCTACTTCAACTCCTACTGTGCACTCTTCTTTGCTTTCCCTTTTTGAATGCTATACTTACTGTGAAACAGACTACTGTGGATTTTTACTGTCTTACAGTTATTGACAGTTAATGAAAAGGACTTTGGATCTTTCTCTCTGGAGAAAGGACTTGATACTTGGATTCCACATAACTGAAGCTTCAAGTTTCAAGAACATTGGTGCGATTACTTTTTACAGACTCCCATATTGTTCCTCGTAAATTCTGCAGAAATTCTTACTAGAAGTTTTACAAGCAGAAAGTCATCTCTACTACTGGAGTAACAAGTTGCCTTCCAGCCACCTCTCTATATGTATAAAAGCAAAGAACTCCAGTAACACAATGATGGAGGCTGTATCAACACTTACAAAGAGTAAGCCAAAGGAAATGTCTTATCAAGGCAGACTAGTCAAAACACATGTTTAGCTCACCAAAATATGTCTGTCAAAGACAGTACTCTTTAAGTACATTTCTCCAAACATGTTTATCTCTACCAAATGTTTGAGAACAAGATATATTCCTACAGTCATCTAAAACTATGCGATGCATCCTATACCAATGAACAACTGCTATGTGGAATCCAAAACTACAGTCAAAATCCAGTTTTAAGATTAAATTGGACAGGGTAAAGAGTAGGAGGAGAGGGGAGAAGGTCTCCTGACATAACAGGGGCTGCTGATTCTTCTGCAGACCATTTTCTATTTATATACAATCTATGTGAAAACAAAACATACACTCAGACTATTTATGTAGCTGCTCCAACATACTTTAACAGAAGTACATTACTTTTCATTTGTCAGAGCACAGAGAACCTAGGATAACCAAGGCTATCACAAGGGTGGGTTTTGGTTTTTTTTGAGAAGTAGTTTGGGTTTTATTTCAGGTTTGGGGTTTTTTTTTTTTTTTTTTGAAAGAGATCTCCCCATTTGGAATTTGCGTTATGAAAATAATTTAAATTTTTCTACCAGCTGTAATTGCAGACTATAATGTTGATATTAAAAAAGCCCTGAATAGCAACTATAAAAATACTGTATCTTTCACATTATTTCATAACACAGCAGAATAACGCAACAGAAACTCTCCCCAAAGTCAAAGTCTCTCAGATTTCCAACATTACTGATCAGCATGACAACACTGTGAATTAAGAACAACACACACACCCTCACACCCTGGAACAGCCTAATGGAATTTTTTCAGAAATATGATCAATGCAACCTTTTGGAAGACAACCAAAGGAAAAAATGTTTCAAGAACCAATGATTTCAAAGTGGGTATTGTTCGAGACAACAGCATCTATATACCTAACATTTTGCTTCAAAATACTAAGGAACAACCAGAAAGAATGATCTTGTTCTCACAGAATAGATTCATATAGCTGAAAAATTACAGCAAACATGACCACAGAAAATGCTATCTTACCTTCCTTTTTCAACCATTTCACAATGTTTCCTTCTTCCATTGTAGGAGAAAGCGCAGGCATGAGAACTTTAATACCAGGTGTACCTGTAAAACAAGCACATGATTATCTAGACTAAATACTTGTTCAGTATAATTATTTTCTCAGTTAACTGCTTAATATAAATGAAACTAAAAGTGCATGAATCTGAAAGGCAGTAGAACAAAAGTTTCACTATGATGCTCTTTTTTAAGCTTACATACAAGCATGCACTCCCAAGGAAAACCAAGCACTAACTATAGAACCTATATGTTACACAGAACAAGGGCCAACTTGGGTATGAAGTCATAAATAATACAAAGTATTAAGCAAATTAAACTCTGTCTTAAGTAAAAATATGATACAGAAACTTTGGACCTGGTGAAGACAAATTTAGATACTCATGCTGCTTCAGCTTTGATTCAACTAATTTTTAATGGAACCTTTCTCCACGACCAAGTATTAGTACATTATTAAAAATATACAAACTGGTATTTCAAGTACCCATCAGTTCAGTCTGACCTACCGAACAACCCTACAGTGGATGCAAGTGAAACAGGATTACATAATCTTTGTCCAACAGAAACCTAAACAGAAAAAAAAAAAATATATATCTACAACTTGCTTAGAGCTCCAACTACACACAAGCTATTATGTGTAGAATGAAAAAGCAGCTACAAAAAAACATTAGAAAAAAAATCAGCAGCTAGCATGAAGCTATGATTGCCGCCTTTTTTTTTTCTATTATTCCCTCTCACCCCCGAAATGACATGATTTTCAAAGCTGAGCCAGCTAATATCCCCTGCCTCTTGCGTATCAGGGGCATATGTACTAAACCAAACCACATTTCCATTTTAACACTTCTTCCATACATGGCCCTGCATATGCTTAGTTCTGTCCCTGTCAGGGTCTCATTTTAGCCTCTCATTTACTGCAAGTGAATGAGACAAGTCTCAAAGAATTGTCCTCTCATTTGCTACGTGCTTGGCAGGAAAGGAAGTCTGAACGTATGACTTGTCAGATATAAGCATGCCCAGAGTAGAGAACACACACAGACACATGCATGCACACTGTATCTCAGTCCTCAAGACAGGCCAAAACTGCTGCTATCATGAGAAACTGGGTGAGAGGTATTGATATGTTCCCTGCTGATGAACCATGATGTGATACAGAGGAGAGTATACGTCCATCCACAAATTCCCCAGTGGTATTTACCATAGTTTTTTTTTTCCTAGTTATGCAGTGTGTCAACACGATGAGACAACAGATTAAAGCACATCTTTTAAACTAATAAAGGTCCCCTGATCCTAGTACTCCAGACACTGATGATCCACCTCTTTCACTGATAAACTTTTCCAATGTTTATCCTTTCTGCTAGGAAACTATATCTACTTTGCAGACTGAAATTGCCTAATTTCAAGTTTCAGTGATCGGATCTTATGTCTGTTAAAAAGCTTGAAAGATTTTTCATTACAGAGATCTTTCACATGATTAAGTGTCTATACAAAGACATCATGTAAATTCTTAGCCTTTTCTTTCCTTTAACAAGCCAAATTAAAAGATATGAAAAGTCAAATGCATTTAAGTAACACACCACCACAACCTCTCTGGTCCTGCAACACCATGTACTAGACACAGCTAGGTAGCAGATCACTTCAGTCTGCCAACTGACGGATCAGCTTAGTAAACCCATACACAGAGAAAAGTGGCACTGCACAGGAGCAAGCTGAGTGCCATGTAAGTGAGATTCTTCCGAGGACAGGGCTCATGATACAGCACATTTCATAGCACGTTACATCTCTTGTCATTTGATCCAGTACACCAAAGCAGTACTCTGACATACAGTTTGTAACACAAGAGATACTGTCTTTCTGAATTTTTTAAGATAGTTATGAGGCAAATAAATATATCTTTTTAGATACTGTTCTGGAACAGTTTGTTTAGGGTAAGCAGGAACAGCTTAAAAAACTTAGGAATTAATCCTTTTTTTTCTTCTTCCTCATTATCAGGAAGAAAACAGGCAAGGAAAAAAAAAGTAAAAGAATTTTGAGCTGAAAAGCACGTCCCATCCTTACCTCCAAGTTCTAAGAGTTACCATGAAAAAGATCTCAGATAAGGCAAAAACAGAAGTGAAACTGCAATTAATACACAATGATTTGAGGGAATTAAAAGAGCCAACTCATGTTCTTCAATTCATTAATGTTAATACATACACTAAATCTGAGCTTGTCTTTTGCAGTTATACAGGATTATAAAAGAATAAATCATTACACTTGTAAGAAAATGTAGATATTCAACTATAAATAATAATGGAAATAGAAATAATGGAAAAATCTATGTCTTTAACTCCGCTGAACCTCTGAAATATTTAATCTCTATCCCCACACCTTTCTAGTGGATGAACCACATGGCAGGGACTGGGGGAGCAAAGTCCCTCCCACTGTAAGAGAAGATCAGATTCATGACCACCTGAGGAACCTGAACATACAGAAGTCTATGGGACCGGATGCGATGCATCCCAGAGTCCTGAGGGAATCAGCTGATATAGTCGCCAAGCCACTCTCCGTGATATTTGAAAAGTCGGGGCAGTCAGGGCGACGACGCCAGTAGCCATTGAAGCACATGGAGAACAGGGAGGCGATTTCAGATGGCAAGGGCAAGTCCTGCCTGACCAAACGAGTGGCCTTCTATGATGGAGTGACTACATCAGTGGACAAGGGAAGAGCCACAGATGTTGTCTATCTGGACTTCTCCAAGGCCTTTGGCACGGTCCCCTGCAACATCTTTTTCTCTAAATTGGAGAGATACGGATGTGATGGGTTGACAGTTTAGTGGAGGAGGAACTGATTGTATGGTCACATGCAGAGGGCAGTAGTCAAGGGCTCAATGTGCAGATGGACATCGATGACAAGTGGTGTGCCTCAGGGGTCCATACTTGGACCAGTGCTGCTTAATATCTTCATCAATGACATAGACAGTGGGATCGAGTGCACCCTCAGCAAGTTTGTGGATGACACCAAGCTGAGCGGTGTAGCTGACATGCCTGAGGGACATGGTGCTGTCCAGAGGGACCTGGACAAGCTTGAGAAGTGGGCCTGTGTGAACCTCAAGGGGTTCAACAAGGCCAAGTGCCGGGTCCTGCACCTGTGTCAGGGCAACCCCTGGTACCAACACAGGCTGGGGGATGAAGGGATTGAGAGCAGCTCTGCCGAGAAGGACTTGGGGGTACTAGTGGATGAAAAGCTGGATATGAGCTTAAAATGTGCACTCACAGCCTAAAAAGCCAGCCATATCCTGGGCTGCATCAAAAGATTTGTGGCCAGCAGCTTGAGGGAGGCGATTCTGCCCCTCTTCTCTGCTCTGGTGAGACGCCACCTGGAGTACTATATCCAGCTCTGGAGCCCTCAGCACAGGAAATACGTGGACCTGTTGGAGCGGGTCTGGAGGAGGGCCACAAAAATGATCAGAGGGATGGAGCACCTCTCCTGTGTGGACAGGATGCGAGAGTTGGGGTTGTTTAGCCTGGAGAAGGGAAGGCTCAGGGGAGACCTTACTGCGGCCTTTCAGTACTCAAAGGGAGCCTACAGGAAAGATGGGGACAACATTTTTACAGGGCCTAGAGCAATAAGACAAGGGCTAATGGTTTTAAACTAGAAGAGTGTAGATTTAGACTAGAAAAAAAAATAAAAATTCCTTCTATGTTGAGGGTGGTGAAACACTGGAACAGGCTGCCCAGAGAGGTCATATAGAATCCATCCCTGGAGACATTCAAGGTCAGGCCGGATGGGGCTCTGAGCAACCTGATGTAGTTGAAGATGTTCCTGCTCATTGCAAGGGGCATTGGACTAGATGATCTACAAATGTCCCCTCCAACCCAAACCATTCTATGATTATTTTTTTTTTTTAAATGTGAAATGGGAACATTGTAGCAAACCTCTAATAACCTCAGCAGCCAACAACAATTTTGACATTTTAAAATGCACCAAGAGCAGAGAGCAAGTTATTTATTCCCCCAAGTCTCCAGGAGAGTACCACAATCAGGATCATGCTGCCTAGAGCACTTGAACTGTGGAAGCAAGCCCAGCATATGCATGGTTTACGTTCCCAGAAGCCTGCATGAGGAAATATACATATTTATCTCAGTCTTCTATTCCCGGGTTAATTTTCCTATTCCAAATCAGTCCTAGAAATTAATCTATTCTTTCCATGGTACTTAAATACTTGTCAGTTTAATATTACTTATTACTGTAATGCTTAGAAATGTATCCAGACAGTATTCCTCACAACACTGGCAATTCCCATTTGAATCACTTCCAATGATTTTCTTTTAAAAGTTTCTTCTTGCAACCTCTCATTTTGGACCAATACACAGAAAAATGAACTATGTTAAGAATATGTATTATTCTATGAATGCCTGTCTGTATTAATTTACCACATCATGTTTTGTCTATGATCATTTTTCAAATATTACAATTTAAATGGTGTGTCGTATGTTTCACTTCAGTAAAGAGTCACTTGATCCATTTCCCAGAATACTCTCCATATTTTGGCATAAATACAAAATTGAGCAACAAATTTGTGCCACTAATATTTTCCTTTTCCTGTTATAAGCAAGTACCGCAAAACATATAGTCCATTCTGGTCCTTTGATGAAGTTAGGAGAGAAGATCCAGCAGCACGTACACATGAAGTCTAGGAAAAAAAAAACAACCCACAAACAAAAGAAAACAACCAATAACAAAAAAAGACAACAAAAAACCACCACAGGATACAAAGCAGAATGAAGAATCCAAAGATCAAGTCCCATGCCAAATCTAAACAGAAATGCCATTTTCTATACTATTGTGCCTCACTGCAAGAATGATAACTGTAATTGAGGAGCAGTGCTCAAACTGACCTTAGAAGGTATATGACTATACCTTTAATAGCAAATATAGTAGGCTAACAGTCTTAGGCACTTAACTACTTACTATAACAGTCACACTAAAACAAAATCACACCACACATCATAAACTCATTTGTCACTAGATAAAACCTTTCCTTCATCCTTCCCTAGCTTTCCACCAGGAATACACAATATTTGACTTGTTAAGGCCCAGGCAACTAACAGAGGTTTGTTATGAGCTTTTCTGCTACCTGAGAAAGATCAATATATCATATAGCTAAAAAAAAAAAAATATTTTTTTTAAAAAAAAAAACTGCACTGTTCTGCTACTCCTATTTGGGAAGACATGGGGAGCTGACAGCTGCTCAGCACTTCAGCAGGCAAGAGAATATAAACCCTCTTAAAGAGATAATGTTATTTCCATATCACTGATGTAAATGTAAGTACTAGCAGAGTAGCTCACTACATCACAAAACAAAAGTAAACAACGCCCATCTTTCCACTTCTAATACTCTATATACAGCATGAAGCGTGGAACTGGAACTCAAAATAGACTTCTTTCCCTTCTTGACCTATGGAAACACTTAAGTGTAATTCTATCCTCATGAATCTGTAAGTATATTTAGAAACTGTAAGAAAAATAAAGTTTGAAAACTATCCCTATGCTCCACTTTCTTTGAAGATGCTAAATACAAGACCTTGCATGTTTTGGGTAACAAAGTTTACTACTACCTGGAAGACTGCTAATATTTTACTTCAAAACATAATTACATATTAATACCATACTATTCTGTGTGGTGATTTCATTAAGAAAAAGAAATATCTGGCTGTAAAATTGTCCCTGCAGACTTAAAACACATTGCAAGATGACCACTGATGTCATAAATGTTTTCCTTTAAACTGTTCACTGAAAGTTCGGCATACTGCTTAAATTACAAAATAATTTGCATATGGAAACATTTTGCTTCTCAAACGCATTGAAACAAAAAAGAATTTAAAGGATACATCATAGGTCTTAATTTAAAATATCAGTTTACTTATAGTTGCCAAGTGTTAGCATTTGAAATTCTGTTCTATTCTCCCATATGGGACTTACAGATATTTTTAATCTATTTTATTGTTTGTGGTAATTATAGCTGAATGATGATTGTTAAATAACAACTAAGGTATACAGCATAAAGCTAGCATGAATTATTTAGAAAATTCATTACAAACTTCTAGTCACCTGCAGCAAACAAGTTGTTCAGAAAAAACACACATAAAAACTGAGTCGGCAGAAGCTGAGAAGATTCTACCCCTGCACTGGAAAACCACACACAGGTTCCCTCCTGTCCCCCCCAAATCCTATACTCACCAGCAAAAGATCTATTTCTGGGATGCTTTTGCTGGCATATTAAAGAAAGAAAAATATTCCTGAGACTCAGAACATTTTGAGGGCATTTTGAAAGAACACAATACTAAAAAAAAATAATAAAGTATCTCAACTCATTTTTAAATTGAGCTATCTCAGGTAGAACCTTATCTTCAGAAACAATGTTGATTAACATGGATAGCCACAGCAGAAAAAAAAAAAAGTGGACAAAGTATACCAACAAATTGCTTTACTTGTATCGCTTTACTTTGCATGGAACTTCCTTTTTCTTCTGACTTCTATGCAGCCTTATCTGAACTACGCAGTATTATACAACAAAATTATAATAGTGACAGCATCCATTACAGTAATGAACAAGAAAAGATTTCAGCAACAGACTTGGCAATGCTGTGGCACTGTTTTCAAAACTCAATTTCTAATTACTTTCAGTTGTCTGGAGGTCAGATGCAGTCAACAAGCTCACTGAAAAACTTCCCAGAGAACACATTTATTAATACTACTTAGATGCTTTAGAGTAATTTCATAGCTACAAAATTAAAGTGCTTTTTAACCAAGAAAAAGCATTTCTTCTCTCTACACAAATCTAATTGTGCAAGGCAGCAAAATAACTGCATTTCAAATGGAGCCAGTTCAGGGAAAAAGTTTTAAGCCATATCTCTTGTTCCACACTAAATATCAACCCATGATACAACCAGAAGGAGCTGATCAGTTTTATGCCCCAATTGTTCATGTTCACGCCCTTATTCATACTACCTGTAGTATACTCATGCTGCTGCCCAATTATCCAGATTGGGGAATGGATTTTGCTGGAAGTTCACCTGACCACAAAAATAAATACAACTGCAGTCAGGTTAGCTTCCTGATCTGGCTCATCATACAGCACTATGAACAAAATCAACATCCAAAATGGGCAGTGGGAACTAGGATAGAATTTATGTTCAGTTAAAGCAACTGTGGAACTACCATACAGTGCTAATGCAAAGGAAAGGAAAAAAATGAGGTGCACTTCAGCTCCATTTTCTCCACTCCTTTCTCATTCTCCAAGCTCACCAACCTATCCATTCAGTGCACATGCATTTACTGCTCATGCATAGAGATGCCTATGTTAGAGAAGTTCAGTAGTGTTGCAATTAAGAGTCTTGTTCAGCAACACAAGAACAGTTGCTACAACAATGGTCTCCTTTCAAAGCTATTTTAGTCACTTTTCAGTTAATGACCATACACATCCAAAAACCAGGCTTAAATATGTCTCTAAAAAAAAAAGCGATCTTACAATGAACAATTCCCTTCACCAAATAATATTTTCTCTAGTTAAATTAAAAAAAAACTGTGCTAATAAAATGAGTCATTGGATTCAGATAGGTTAATTGTGCTATACAAGCAGTCCTTACAAGCACTCTGTGAACTAAATATTGTTGCTTTTTCATTACGGGTAAGCAAAAGCTTTGGTAATTCACAAGACAGAGCTCATTGGCATAATAGAATTTAGAGCCATGGAGCATATGAAACTTCTGAACACCCAGTCGCCCTTCATTAATTTTACTGCTATCAACAGTAATTGTTATTACATATCTGAATAAAAAAAAGGAGGAAGACTTAGAAAAACTCTACATAAACAGTAGCTGCTATTTTAAAGAAAACCCTCTGTGTATCCACGAGAATTTGTTCTTCGTGACACATTTTAAGAATTGAGTTGAGTCTGAGCATGATGATTCTAACTCCCTTCCTTCTCTTCTGTGAAGAGATTCAATGCATGTTTAGCCTGCATATCAAACAGACTGAGGAGCAGGGCTTTAAGAGAAGAGCAGACCAGTAGATCTCTATAATATCCTATTAACTACAATCTGAGAATCCCATTGAGAGTAAATTTTGTACTTAAACTTACTCACTGTAACACAGGTTCATTGCCTCTTTTTGACCTCCTTTGAGATGGAAACAGCTACAGCATTGTCAAACCAAAAAAACTGCAATGAACTGAAGACAAATGCTTTAACGTGCCCCACTGGAGAGATATTTCATAACTTCCTAAGCCATATTCTGTAGTCAGTAGAGAATTGAAAGATTTACTCCAACCTGACATCAATGGTAAGATTAAGAAACATTAAAAACAAAAATTGAAAGACCCCAACATAAAGGTTCATTCTATTTTTCTTCCTTGTAACCAACAAACTAGGAATTCAATTCTGAATTAATTGTTTTGACTATGCAAAACAACTTTCTCCCTCCTCTACCACCCCTACAGAGAGGGACAGAAACACATATAGAAGCACAAACTAAAGTGACAAACGCTAGATCCACATGAACCACATTTCGTATTACCAAACAGTGGCATTTCAAGAAACAGAAGAGTGGAGAAATAAAAATAATGCTAAAATAAAAATGACTTAGCTTTAAATTCCCAAACTAGGAACCAAGATTCAGTTTTATGTCCAAAAGAGCAGTATTTTACCAGATAGATTACAACTTTTCTCTTCGTTTTCATTTTAGAAAGAGTTTTGGGGTTTTTTTTGTTTAAGAAAAAAGGTTCCACTGACATATGTACCACCTTGAAAAGCAGTAAGGAATACTAAGAAGGTTCAAAGAAACAAGTGAATGAGGAAAGCCTGAACAAGTTAAAGACATGATATATCCACTTCAATACAGAAAAGCTTACCGTAAGGAAGAAAAAGTTTCACTCATTGCCATATCCAAAATTAATATTTTAACTCCACTTATATACTAAACAGGCCTTTCTTACTACAGAGATATAAAGTAGTACACTAGACTGCCTGGGAGGACTGTAGATGAGAGGCCTTTAAGGAGTTATATAATAACACTAATGTAGAAGTAGCTAATCCTGCATTAGATGAAACAAACAAACCTCTTTCAGGACTTAACTATACTTGCACCTAGAAAACACTGAAATAGTCTCAATTGCAAGCACTTTTTTTTTTATCCACAGGACAATATTTACATATTTGAAGGCCTAATCTCCCATCAATGTTTTCCTCTCTAGATTCCAATTCCTTCATTTTTTTCTCCGTGATCACGTTTTCTAGACCTTTAATAATTCTCACTCTTCTCTCCGAATTCTCTCTCATCAGTCACACCCTTCCTGATGTACCTCCAGAGACCAAACCAAACAGCACCCTGCCAAACTAACCCATCTCAGCAACCTCTCATCCATTTCCCAATTGGTCATTGCTACTCAGTCTCTCCTGCTCAGTACACCAACGCCCCCGTTCGGCCCTGCCTCCTACCTGATAACACCAGACACTCACACTTCCCCACCACCTTGCACAGCCTTTATTTCTCCCCTAGCCCACCTACCCTCATCTCTTACTTAACGCCGCAGCTCCTCCACGCACAGCTGCAACAGGCCAACGGCACAGGCCCCCAACTACCAACGAAGGATTCAGAATCCAACGCATCACTCACCCCGTAGCTTTCCGGTCTCGTGAAGACGCCTCCAGCCTCCTCGAGCGAGTAAAGACACGCCAGTGCCCAGAACGGGCCTCCCCCCCAACAGCATCCTCACCGCCCCCCTGCTGCCGCAGCTCAGCCACAAGGAAGCTGCCATCTTGCTTCTTCTCTCTTCTCTGCTCTCCCTAAGGCCAGGGCTGTCCCTCTCACTGCCTGAGCAGAAAAACATGCGGCACGCCCGCACCCCGAAGCCAAGCCTCCTTAGCGCGGACATAGGTACAAGCAAATGCCTACCACAGCCACACCCCCGCCTCTCTCAGCCCTGCCTGCCTGTCAGCCCCCAGGGTGCACCCACATCGCCTCTTGAGCTGGTCCTACTATTGACCCTTTCCTGCCCTCCCGACCTGGGTGGGGAAAAGGGAGAGCTGGTCTCTCCATCCCATCCCAGCCAATCCGCCTCCGCCTTGGGGCACGGTCCGCGCCGCCCGTCAGGGTATTGCTTGAGCCGCCAGAGGTAGGCAAGCGCTCGGCAGGCGCCCGCGCGGTCCTCAAAGGAAGCTCCCGAGCGAGGACCCCCATGCTCCCCGTCTGACCGGCGCCATGGCGGCCGCTACCAACGACGGAGGCGCAGCGCAGGTAACGAGGGACCACGCGCAGACCCCGTACGCGGCGCCTGACCCTGAGGCTGAGTGGGCTTTAAAGGATCGCAGAGCTTGGCAGCAGTGCGGGAGCGTCCCCTTTAAGCAGCCCAGCGGCGGGCGATGTGGGCTCAGCCGTCCCCTGCCTACCTGCCGACCCGGCTGCCCAGCGCGCTGGGGTCACCTCAGGCTGCGAGGGTCTCCTGGAGGCCCGAGGCGGGACAGCAAACCAGCAACGGCCTTACCGGCGTGGCCGGGCCACCCCTGATGCCGCTGACAGCCCCGCACGCTGTGCGCCGCCTGGCTAGGAACACTTTGCGTCAGCGGGTGCTCCAGGGTAGCAGTTCGCAATTGCAGTTGTTGAGGCTATTTTTGTAACCTTAGTAATTAGCTATTAATCTTCGTAGTTACTAATTAGCAGAGAGTATAGAGGTGTTGTGAAATTTACAGCACTTCCCAAAATGTTGCCAGCTGACAATCTGGCTGCAGCTACAGGACTTTGGGCTCTAATTATTTATTTATTTATGGCAAGTCTGGGTTTTTTTTTTAGGTTTGGTTTGTTTGTTTGGGTTTTTTTTCTGTTTGATTGTTTAGGGGGTTTGCAGTTTGGCAACTGTTCATTCCTATAAGTCACCACAACCTGAACGTCAGTCAGCAGTGCTGTACTTCATCAAGAGAAGCAAACATTGTGCTACAGTGTGTGGGAGCATCACCTGGACAAGGCTTGAAATACCTGTTCTGAGCAGCCCAAGCACCAAGAACAGTGTGGACTGACAAAAGGGAGATGAGAATCATCAGCAGAGTAGATAATGTGGCCTGTCAGGAAAGAGGGAAAGAATCTACTCTAAAAAAAAAAAAAATAAAAAGGAGCAAATAGAGTTGTTGACTTAATAGTCTTAATACGTTAAATATTGTCACAGAAATGAAAGGAAAGAACATCATCTTTATGCCCATAACTGTTTGGTAAGAGATAACAAGCTTAAGTTTCAGCATGCAAAGCTTAGGTTAGGCATTAGGAAAATACTTCTAACCTGGGGCTGTTAAACAGATTGCCTAGGGAATTTGTGGCTCACTGTCATTTTAAATTTTTTTAAAGAAGAGGTTAAAGTAGGAGCTTCCGAACCTTGTTAAACTGGACCCAGGCTGCCGTGTCCATCACTTCACCTTTGCTGTCTCCTGCCTCAGAACCACTGCCACTGTCTTGCACCTGTTCCTGTTTGTCCCATGCTGCTGCCACTGCTTCCCCATGCCCGATTCTCTTAAGTCCAACACCAACTGGAAGCATTTTCCTGTAGCAACTGCAATAAGATGCACGTGGTTTGTCTGCTCAGAGGGGCTGCATTAAACAAAGCCTCTGCTTGCTGTGTTTCTAAAGGCTAGAAGACAATCTTGAGGGGCTTACAAAATCCCAGTTCCCCTTTGCTTAAGTCTTACAGTCTCACTTGACATGATCTAGGATCACTCACTCAGTCTTCAACTTTATAATAGAGTCACTATGGTATTGGGGTGGGAGGAGAGAACAGTGACAACAGTACTTATTTCTTAGTGTTGCAGCAAAAGTATTGGTACTAAGTAACTACCTGCCTGCCAGTTTCGGTATGTTGTACTTAGTTTTTGCTTCTGTTCTCTTTAATCTGTGGGTGTTAACAGAATACCCCCACTAATGCAGGTTCCTTCTGATAAACAAACGTTTCTCTTGGAAATGTCCTTTCATGGGCATAAATGACTAAGTTGAGCAGCTAATCACTTGTCGTTTTTAAAAAACTATTAAAGATTCTAATTGCTGCAATAAAAACATTTACAAAAAAAAAGGCACACCACACATGATCAATTTCAGTTGGATGTCTCTACTTGCTGTAAAAATTGACAGTCTGAGAATTTTAAGCAGAGTAGGAATCCTCACCACATTGCTTTCCTGTCTCTTCCTTACAATTATTTCTTTTTCTCACCTAAAAACCCTCCCTTTTGCATTGTAGAATCCTTGTATGGTGCTGAAAGTGTTGTAGAAAATATACCTTTTTAAAAGCTCATGACATTATTTTTGCTACTTTGGTTTATTTGATCCATTTTTACGTTAAAGACACATTTTAAACAGAAATCTACCTGCTTATTAATGGTACTTTTCTCACTGTATGTATACAGTGTAGGACAAATCTGTTTTACTACATCAAACTTATCACTATGTGGCTATTCAAAGAAACCTCATCATGATTTACTGCCTGTCAGTATGAAATATCAATGCTATGATTTCATATATGCAGCCTGTGCTTATTTCTGGGGAATTTATGAAAGGGAGATACATATTTCAGACACTGTTTATGTACTATTATATCTTAAAATATCCACATTGTAGTTCAGTTTTACACCTTTTGAAAATTGTCCCCAAAACCTTTACAAATGTGATGTTCTACAAGTAGGGTGGGTCCACCTTGATTTCCATTACGTTAGATCCACATTGTTTTCTGGGTTTTTGGGTTTGATGGGTTGGTTGTTTTGGTTTGGTTTTAAATAATATTAGGTTCAATAATTTGAATAAAATAGGAAAAAGCTAATTTTCCATGAGCAACCAGTCTTGCAGAATACAATAATATTTTTTTAAAAGATTTGACTGCTGGAAATATTCTAAATTTTCAGTGAATACTTTCAGTCAGTTTCTGTTTAGAATTTTATCAGCAAATTTGTTTTCAAAAGAATAATTTAATGGATTGAAAAATTAGTCACTTCTTTTAGTTCATGGATATTTGTGGAGTTTTTCGTCATATCTAACAGCATGCAGAAACTCAAGCCAAGATGGTAACAGCTTAGCAGCAAAGAAGCTAAATTATTCATGTTAGTTGTATCAGAAAACTAGTGGGCCAGATCCTGATTTGGAGATATGAAGGAAGAAATAACCATCTGTGCTTCAACTTAAAAATCAAATTTAAAACTAAGTACTGCTAATTGAGATTTGACAAAGAGTAATCCTGTCGAGTTGCCTACTGCTTTCACACATGTTCACTCCCAGACTTATTACAGCAAGTACTGCTTTTAGTTATGGAAAGAACTGTCACTTTAATTAACAGTAATTTTAAACAGGAAATACAGTAATATTTTTGTTTAGATAGTTCATGATTATAGTCAGTATCCACTGATCCTGAACAAATACTGATAAACTCTAAGGATGTCTTTATAATCCTGGAATTTTTCAGAAAAATACACAAATTTCCTTGATTATATTTATTTTCATATGTTCTTGATGAAAGTAGCTTCTGAATTTGAACTTTTAAAAATTCTTTTTAATGATTTCAAGTGGTGAAAAGCACTTATGGATATGAATTTCAGTAAATGTCTAGATTCATCAAACAGAAGACGTGAAACAACTGTTAAAGTGTTATAATCTAGGGTTTTTTTTAATGGATGTGTACATTTAATAATAATAGCAATATATACCTGTTTAATATAAGCTTATTTCATCAATTGTAGAAGGGATAATTTATCTTTGAAATTAAAAATACTGGGGTGGTACTTAGGTTAGAAATACATAGTGATGTCATTTTGAGTAAGTCAAAATAAGATACTGTGGGCTTCAGTTTTGTGACAGGTGAATAGATAAAAATTATGTGCTTCCATTAATTCTGTATAAATAAATCAGAACAACAAAATGGGGACACATAATTTACACATACTATGTGCTCGTTTTATATATGTAAACATATGACACATGCATTAATATTTTCAGATTCACAGTATATTTCAGAGTGATTAGTATTTGAGGAATGTTTAGTCAGTCAGAGTCTATTTGATGTATATTACTATTTTCAGCGGCGAAGAACTGGAAAGGGGTGGTTTTATTCTTAGCTGTCTGAATGGAGTTGATTTCATATTTCTTTCATTGTAAATGCAGGACTTTTCTTATTTGGCCTGGGGTCTTTTTGCTTCGTGTACTCTTGTATACGCTGTTAAATTTGTTTCACGTGATGTGAACTGATGAAGGTTTATGGTGCTTTAAAAATCTTAACTTCTTACATAAGTTTCTAGGAGTGCTGTTTAGAGGTTTGTTTGTAACACTTGAAATGTATAAACAGATGATTTTTTAATATATTAAAAGAGAGTGTAAGTAATAGAAATAAAATTAGAGCAGGCAGGAATAACATTTGAACTGAATTCCAGTTCTTTAAAGAAAAGTCACACCTCTGTGCCTGGCAAGATCGTGGAGCAGATCCTCCAGAAAACTCTGCTAAGGCACGTGGAAAATAAGGAGGTGATTGGTGACAGCCAACATGGCTTCACTAAGGGCAAATTGTGCCTGACAAATATGGTGGTCTTCTACGATGGCATTACAGCGTTGACGGATAATAGGAAAGCAACAGATGTCATCTACCTGGACTTGTGCAAAGCATTTGACGCCATTCTGCACAACAACCTGGTCTCTAAATTGGAGAGACATGGATTTGACCAATTGACTACACAGTGGATAAGGAACTGGCTGAACGGTCACACTCAAAGAGTTGCGGTCAACAGCTCCATGTCCAAGGGGGGAGCAATGATAAGTGGTGTTCCTCAGGGGTCGGTACTGGGACCTGTACTATTCAACATCTTTGTCGGTGACGTGGATGTTGGGATTGAGTGCACACTCAGCAAGTTTGCCGACAACACCAAGCTGTGTGGAGTGATAGACACACTGGAGGGAAGGAATGCCATCCAGAGGGACCTGGACAGGCTTGAGAGGTGGGCCCATGCAAACTTCATGAAGTTCATCAAGGCCAAGTGCAAGGTCCTGCATGTGGGTCAGGGCAATCCCGAGCACAAATACAGGCTGGGTGGAGAATGGATTGAGAGCAGCCTTGAGAAGGACTTGGGGGTGCCTGTTGATGAGAAGCTCAGCATGAGCCAGCAATGTGCACTTGCAGCCCCGAAGGCCAACCATATCCTGGGCTGCATCAAAAAGAAGTGTGGCCTGCAGGTTGAGGGAAGATTCTGCTGCTCTACTTCACTCTCATGAGACCCCACCTGGAATATTGCGTCCATCTCTGGAGTCCTCAACATAAGAAGGACATGGACCTGTTTGAGTCCAGAGGAAGGCCAGAAAGATGATCAGAGGGCTGGAGCACCTTTCCTGTGAAGACAGTCTGAGAGAGTGGGGGTTGTTCAGCCTGGAGAAGGCTCCGGGGAGACCTTATAGCAGCATTCCAGTATCTGAAGGCCACCTACAAGAAAGCTGGAGAGGGACTTTTTATGAGGACATGTAGTGATAGGACAAGGGGTAATGGCTTCAAACTGGAAGAAGGTAGATTTAGAACAGATATTAGGAACTTAACTTATTTTCACTCTGAGGGTGGTGATACACTGGAACAAATTGCCCAGGGAAGTTGTGGAGGCTCCATCCCTGGAAGCGTTCAAGGCCAGGCCGCATGGGCCTGTGAGCAACATTGCCTAGTGGAAAGTGTCCATGGGCATGGCAGATGGGTTGGAATGAGATGATCTTTAACATTCCTTCCAACCTAAACCATTCTCTGATTCTATGAAAGTCGCTTCAGAAACAAGTGCCATTGAAGAATAGGGTGCTGCACTATTAAGTTAAAGTGTACTGATCAGGCTTAATGCATATATAAAAAGAAATATGTAAGAGTTGGCTGCAGTAGTAGGGGACAGTATTTGGTGACCTAACGGTTTAGACTTCTTAAAAATAATCCATTTTTCTGTTGGAAACAATGCACGTAGCACATCTGTTGTGCTTAATTGCTGATTTCTGCCACACACCAACATATAAGAAACAAAACCAGCTGTATTACTGTAGTAATGTAGGTGGAAATCTTAGCTTGTTCCAGGGAGACAAATTGATATAAATAAAATTACTGCTGTTTCTCTACTGTTTAATTCCTTATTTGATGTTTTCAGTTATATAAGGGTCTTCGTGAAAGCACGTGGATTGTTATTTTTACACTGGTAAATGGGGGAAGACTTTGGCTTTTTATTCTTTCAGATAAGCTAAAAGAGAAATACTCAAGACAACATGCAAATGCATAAATTCAAGCACACAGCATGAATTAAAGCAGCATCTCACAGTTTTCTCTGTGTATACTGGTTACATTTCTCCTGTAAATGATTCCAACGTTCAAAATTTTCACTTTTCCGATGTAGCACATGAAAGACTGATACCTGTTAGCGACAACTTTCTTAGTTTTATATGTTCATTGCAGAGTCATGTTTAGGATTTCCAAGAAATAGTTTTGGCTTGTACTGTAAAGCCATCCTGTTTTAGATTAACTATGAATGAATCTCTGACACTACAGATACCTTTGAATTAATAGATAGATATAGATATATTTATTGATGTAATGAATAAGGGAATATGGAAAAATTTAAGAACTTTTTTTCTTCTTTCAGAAGTATTAAAATAAGGCATGTGAGGTAACCTCACACTGTAAAAATATGGGAATGTGAAGTTCATTAAACGAATTGCCTGTGTTTTCTGAAATTTGTAAATCAAGCAAAATAAACCTACAGAAAACTGAATCAATGGGAAGTTATTAGTTGAGCTTTTCAAAATGGATAATGTTAGATGCATTTATTTTTCTTTTTTTATGGCAATAGTCTATGACTTAATCTCACTGTGGGCCACTGCACTCGAATAAATTTGAGATGAGACCTTTCCTGTGAAGGATAATGAGACATGCACTTTATTTAGGGGTTTTGCTTGTTCGTTTCAAGATGCGAAAGGCCCTTGCAAAGCGTAAAGGTCACTGTGCAAACACACAGTCATTTTCTAACTGAAGTTCATAAGCATAAATTAGGCTGTTGTACTGCAGTATGAAAGTACTACCCCTTTAAACTCAATTTCAGAATTGACCTTTTTAGGTTTGTGATGTTCCTGATGTTTTTTAATTTATTTATTTAATTTATTTTTAGGAGAAGTTACATCCAAGAAATCTTATCCCAGAGCTTTGTCGACTGTTTTATGGTTTAGGCTGGGTGACAGGAAGTGGTGGAGGAATCAGCGTGAAACATGGGTAAGTAAAGGTGGAAGAGAAAGTATGTGATGATTAGAGAGAGAGAGGGTGGCTGTGTTTAGTAGTTGGTGAGGGTATTTCAGTTCCATGAAAAATGTTTGAAAGTCAAGAGTGAGCAAGAAGGTAGAGGGAGAAATGAACAGTACACCAGATTTAACCATATGGAATTGAGATGGCTAGTCTGAATTAATTATTACAGTCCCTTCAATGGAGAGAGACAGCTTCAGAGAGTGACTTTTTTCTTTCCTTTTCCTATCTTTGTTTAGGTAGATGAATTGTATTTAAGGAATAATGTATTCCCTCTTTTTAATTTTATTTACTATGGAATTTAGAATGCGTTACACCAGGCACACGGCTTTCAAATGCCTGTGGTTAGATGACATGAGCTGAATCCCACCCTAGATATTTTGCAGGCAAGAGATTTCCTTTAGGAAGGAAATTACTGTTCTACTGAGATAATTTCTAAAGAGATATTCTTAATTAAAGCACAACAGGTAACAGCAAAACAATTTTTGGTGTCTATCCACTACTAAGGAGCATGACTTTGCCTTTTAATTTCCTCGTCTCCCCTTATTCATGCTTTCCAAGCCTTTAATGGAGACAGAGCTCCACTCAGTGGCCACTGAAAAAAGAGAAGTCCTTATTCTGCAAAGTGCCTTGCACGGTGCCTGCAATTCTGTCCCCAGTCACAGGGTGTTGTGACACACAAAAGTGTCTGACCACTCATTTTTCTGACATACACTTGCATGCAGACACAAATTGCCATTGCTATTCAAATATATGAAATATATATATATATTAAGTAAAGGCTCTAAATGCTAGTATTTGTGCTGTTCTAATGGCTTTGTGCAGGTCATTTCACTCTGCTGCATGATTATACAAGCAAAGCAACAGCAATAATAATAATGAGAGGGATGGTAAGAGGGTTAATTTTTGTTTTTCAAGTTCTTCATCTATGGAAAGATCTGTCTAGCACTAATTTCTCATCAGTAGCTAAATGTAGCCTATTTTCATCATCATTTCAGTGTGATTCATGTTGGTTGTGCTGTCAACACCACAACATTCTCTGTTGACTCAAATGGTGTCAACAGAGAATACTAATATAGTAGCACAATTTTCCTCAGCAGTTCTGTAACTTGGCTGCTCAGACTACACCAAAATACATATTTGAGTTGGTACCAATGTTGTACGTGGTCTAGGAATAGTAATATATATGGCTGTACTCTTTTATAGCTACAGTAACAGTAGCTATGTTTCAAAATTAATAGCTATGAGGCAGAGATCAGACTAGCTTAGCATTGTTACATAGGAAATACTGAAAGAACAACTGAAATTTAATTTAAATTCTAACTGGTCTTACAAGCTAATCCTAATCAGCATTACTCACTCTGCAGTTAATATTAACTAGTCAGAATAAAAATGCCAATTTGGACATGGGATAGCATATTAAAAATGGATCTCGAATTCTTTGTCAGGTGTCCTATATTTCAAAGGCTGTATTTCATCATCAGATTTTTCCTTTGTGATTAATTTCTAAAAAATAAAAAAAATGTTTTAAGAAAAAAAGCATGTCTTTCATTAGTAACCAAATTACCACTTGATTTCTTGATCAGTTGTGCTCTCAATCACCTTGCTTATGCAAAGGAATTAAGACTAAATTAATGCAATGTTGGCAGTGTTAATTCATGAATGTTAAAAATTACAGATATCACAATGTGCACATCGGATATCTGATGTGCTTCACAGCCATTCTACCACTATGAAGAATTGGAAAAGACCCTTAAGATCATCGAATCCAACTATAAAGTGCTAAGTTCACCACTAAACCATGTGCTTAAGCACCATGCCTAAACATCCTTAAAATCCCTCCAGGGATGGTGACTCAACCACTTCCCTGGGCAGCCTGTTCCAATGCTTGCCAACCCTTTCAGTGAAGAAATTTTTCCTAATATCCAATCTAAACCACCCCTGGCGCAACTTGAGGCCATTTCCTCTCGGCATATCACTTGCTACTTCAAAGAAAAGGCCAACACCCACCTTGCTACATCCTCCTTTCGGGTAGTTGTAGAGAACAGCAAGGTCTCACCTGAGCCTGTTTTTTATCCAGACTGAACAAGCCCAGTTCCCTTAGCTATTCCTCGTAAAACTTGTTCTAGACCCTTCACCAGTTCCATTGCTCTTCTGAGTGCTCTTGTCCAGAAATATAAATATCTTGTGGTCCTTAGGGAATGTACCTGTAACTTGACTAATTATTCACTAGATGTCTCTGTGCTCCTAGATTTAGTATGTTACTGATGAAACCGAATAGTGATTTCAATTGAGAGAGATAATCTGATTTTTTTTTTTTTTTGCTATTTTTGAAAATATTTCAGATACTATATTAAAGTAATTTTAGTTTAAATCAATTTTTATAGTCTTTGTTCACATAAACCTTGCAAGAAGTGATGTACTTCTACTTGAATTTCAGTCATTTAGTTGCATTGAATTAGTGTTGTATTTTTATCGATACAAATAAATATACAAATGCATTAAAAATGTGTTTACATGTTTTTAACACAGTTATAACAAAACCCAAAAGTATTTACATTGTAGAATATTATAGATAATATTGTTTATAGATAGTCAGTGGATTTTTAAGTAACAGTCTTATCAGCTGTTTTGTCATAGATCAGTATCAGCTTGCAATATTTCGTGTTCCATTTTTATTCTGAATTTTGGGGATATGAGTCTGGAATTATTGCAGAGGGAGGCTGTGTGTTTTTCTTTGTAGGAAAAATAAGGCTGCACTTCCTACCTGTGTTTCAGATCTTTTGTCAAGTTAAAAGCATGGTTTTGTACCCCTACAAGTCAGAGATTTCATATCCCCTTGTATGATTTGATTGTATTTTGAAAACCATCTATATGTCAATCTATGGAAGGAGCAACAAAGTTGTTAAATTGTGAGGGATTAGCTTTGCTATTTCCTTCTCAGACGATTGAGACTTCTAATGCCCGTGCAGTTGGAGAACACGATGCGTATTGATTTTCCCTGTCTGTAACTTTTCTTAGGAATGAAATCTACATCGCTCCTTCAGGAGTCCAAAAGGAAAGAATACAGGTACATTGAACTCTATTTTTACCTCAGAGCTCATCGTGAGATGGATGAAAGTACCTCTGTTTAGAGTTTCCTTTTTCCTTATGTAAAGTTAGAAACTTGTTATGCTATTGATTGCCTTATTGAAACAACTGAGGATTTTGCCTGGTACTGCACTAGCATAGCAAGCCAACGTATGTTTCAGTGGCCAGTATAGATTAGTCTTGATGATCTCTTTGCTTTAAATTGACACAGAAGACTGAGATTTGAACATTGCTGAAGCCCAAGTTTATTCTTTGTCAAGCTTGAATGGCTTTATAGCTGTCTGGCTACAACTTCAAGTTACTGTGGCACATGCATAATTAAGCATTAACACTTAATCTATATTTGCATTTGAGTGATTACAAATCTTTGTCTTGTTATTCTCAGTGAATAGATGGGCTCTCCCCATGAAAAAGTGACTTTGTCTATCTGTCTCCTTTCCAAAAAAACCCCAAAATATAAGTGGAGAGGAGAATGGTAAATGATAACTATTTTATGACAGCAAGAACTCCCCCAGAATAGAATAATATGTGGAAAGGATTTGTTGTTTTCTAGATCTCAGGGTAAATACAATGAGAATTGAAAGGAATCTCTTCACTGATAGAAACTTGGGATTTCACAGCAGGGCTCACTGGGGATGTTAGCAAGTAAATCAGGCAAAGGCATAATGTGGCAAGACCATGATGGTCTGTTCTTTGCTAACAGTAGCAGCACATTGAGTAAGGAAAACTCTTGCAACTGTAT